TCTACCTTAATTATTGGATCATCTAACTTGAATCGAATTACCAAAACCAGTTCAGACACTGAAATACATTCTTACCCCGGTGCCCAAATCCATCACATACAGTCAATCCTGGAATCATACGACCATGATCCCAAACCTACTACCAGTATTCTTCATGTAGGCCTCAACAACCGTGATCAGCTACCAAAGACCTCATTTGACCAAGCCCAGAAATTAATCGCTACAGTCAACAAAACCTTCCCAAACTCCAAGATCCTCTTCACATGTATACCCATTTCTAATAAAATCTCGAAAGCACAACAGAACCTCAGCACTCTCAACAGCATGATGATGGAGTCCAGTATCAACAGCGCAACAATCTTACCACCCTACGAAGAAGAATTCGAACCAGCTGATAATCTTCATTGGTCTCCAGAAACAGCAAACAGCATTTATTTGTTTGGATACATCAGCTTCACGCATCGAGTATGTCTTTAAACTAATAAAAATACTGAGAGGCCACCGCTAGGTCAAACTGTAGTTAAACTTACTTAAGAAAGACGATAGCATTGTTATTAAAAAGAGTGACAAAGGTTCATGTTGTGTCATTCTGAATAGGGAGGATTATGTTTCAGAAGCCGAGAATCAACTGAATAATCCTAAACATGATTTCCATGGTTATTAATGTTCCTGTTGGAACCAGTATTCTTCTTATATATTTCAGATTCGGAAGATAATGGATTTGCATTTCAAATATTCTATATCATTCTTTTAAACTAACTTCACAAACATTGCTCTATCACTAGAGGTTACGCCTACATGCCTATGCCTGTCCTTTCGTAACATTGCTTAACCGCAATGTTACAACCTAAAATTCCTAAACATTATGCCATTTTACCGAAACCAATTTTCAAAGAAACTGCTAAGATGATTAACAATATTCTTGCCGATTTAGTCAAAACTAGTTATCTGAAACAGAAACAATATGACTATCTGTCTGCCAAACCTGATTGTCGCGAGAGACATTTGTACACTTTGCCTAAAATCCATAAGAATCCAACCAAGCAGTGGTTTATCTCGAATAAAATCCCTAAAGGCCGCCCGATTATATCTGACTGTGGTAGTGAGTCGTATGCAGTGTCAGAATACATTGATCATTTCTTACTACCTCTAGCATATCAACATCGCGCCTACCTTAAAGACACTACCGATTTTGTCAATAAAATAAAAAATCCTCGAGTTCCCTCTAATGCTATTTTAATTTCTATCGACGTTTCTTCTATGTATACCAATATCGATAACACTACTGGTTTAACGGCAGTTCGTAAAGCTTTTAATAGAAATCCAGATCCAAACAGACCCGACGATGCAATTCTACAGCTTTTAGAGATTTGTCTTAGTCGAAACGATTTCACATTGAATGGTAAAACATATTTACAAACTTCAGGGACAGCAATGGGCAAACGATCCGTACGCAAACCTTTTCATGGCAGAGTGGGAACGTGAGGTATTGCCCCTCTGTCCATTTGACCCACTTTTTTACGGACGCTTTTTGGATGACATTTTTATGGTTTGGACTTCTATCGAACAGTTTTGGGAATTCTTTGAAATTCTCAACAACCACCATCCTTCTATCAAACTAACCGCAAACGTGAGTGACAAAAGCATAGACATTTTCGATACAACTGAGATTCCATAGCAGAAACAAATAAACTGGATATTAAAGTGAATTTCAAAGAAACTGATACTCATCAACTGTTGCACAAGAGCTCCTTTCACCCAAAACATACCTTTTCTGGTATAATTAAGTCACAAGTTTTACGATTTCACTGAATTTGTACAAGATCTTCTGATTTCAACCAAGCCTGTACGATTGTTTACGAAAGAGCGTGGGTACTCTAAACGATTTTTACGAAACATAAAAAATTCCACCTTTGCACAGATAGCAGCTAAAAACAGACTGTATGCCGAATTACCTCCAGGTTTAAGAAGTGATCCATGTTTGTCCAGTAAATGCAAAACATGTCCCTTTATATCAGAAACTCATTATTTTGTAAGCAACTCTACGAATAAAATGTATCCGATCCAGGAACATCTAACATGTGAACATTCAAATATAATATATTTAATTTCATACAAGAAATGTCCCACACAATATGTAGGAGAAACTAAGAATAATTTACGAACTCGTTTTAATGCTCATAGGTCGGACATCAAATTAAAGAAAGATAAGCCTGTTTCTAATCATTTCAACCTCAACGACCATTCAATAGACGATCTCACCCTAATCCAATTGAGTGCATAGAAATTTACTTGCCTGAAGATGAAACTACCATTGGATTGAGACATTGAATACAGCAAGACCTATGTTATCCCGTTCAATACAACCAGCAATCGAGCAAGCAAGATAATTCATGTCCACTATAAGAGCCCTCAAGAGAAATTCCCCCCATGTCTATAAGCAGAAAATGATAGTTGCATTTTCAAAAAATAAGAACTTATATGATAATATTATTCATAGTAAACTAAAAACAATCAGTACATAACAGATATTATACTTCTCGCCCATCGGGCGAGTTATTTTTTCTAATTTCAGATCAGAATAAGAACAGAAGAAAACCCAATATTAATATCTTAATCCTAATTTCTAAATAAAGTGTCTGCTCAACCCTAGGCCTGTACATTTGGGAGAATCAAACCCTCCCTTCCCCGAAATCTAACATTATGATACAAATAATCGGGCTGATCACAGGGTCTTTCTTTAACATTTTTTAATAAAGTTTCATTACCTTTAAAGGAATACTACCTCTTAGAAAGGACATAAACTTTAAAGTCTCACAAAAGTCAAATGGTCAACAAATGTACATGTATATAAATATATTCCACAGTTTAACTTACGTCACGTGTCAAACAAGGCAATATATCCATTAACTAAGTAATTATCGAAAAACGCTCTTAAGCGTTTTTCAAAATTTGTTAGATTTGTTATTTGTAAGTCCAGGTAAGTCCACTGATGGTGAAAGACTCATTTGGCCAAGTTTAAATATAGTAATTTTTTGGTCATCCTAACAGGTAGTATATCTGTAATCTGACAATTATTTGGTGAAACTTGGAAGGGTGAGTTTTAAAAGGAGTAACGGAAAGGCAGAAGTATATTATTTTACCACTGGTTATGGAGAAAGCATCTCTAAATTTCATTCCAGTTTGGATGAAATTTCTTTTCTGCTTTAGTGATACATTACGTAGAGCTTACATGATAAAACTAGTTATATGATGGGAGACCTTACGTACATAATGATAATGACAATGGCTTTATACAACAATAACAACACAATCATCAAAATGATAAAAACAATATTTACAATCACAGTTATAGACTGTATACCACAAATTATTGATCTTACTTATACAGCAATACTAAAAAATAATACAAATAACAGATTTAAAACTTTTCTAAAATCGACTAATTTAACAATATATCTTATTATAAAAAAAATATCTTTACTAGGAATGTGACACTTCCAATAATTCATCCTCAAAGATATTTAAATTATAAAGAATTCCTAGATTATGGTTCCATACAATTTCTGAACCGTTACCAAGACAACGCACGAGCGATTAAGACGCATGCGCTAGGAAATGGATATTGAATTTTTAGCTTGTAGTTAATTGTAATATTTAGCGGACAGTGTGGCGATTCTAGTTCTTATATATGGAATTTTTGTCGATATCTAATGAAAATGTAGAAAATAAGAGATTACATCTGATATCTCCAATGATTAGTTTTGTATTATATATAAAGGTAAGATATACTCATAAGTGTGATTCTTATTTCACTGTTGTTTTGATGTATTTTGAGACCTTTTCACTTTTCTCGAATCTTAATTTATTTCTGCCTTCTGCTACAACGAATCTAAAAATAGTCGAGTCTTAGTACAATTTGATTTCTTGCTGGTGCATAAACTTAAAAATCTTAATTATGATGAGTGATTTTAATCAAAATACCAATTGATTAATGAGTACTAAGTAAGCGAATAGTATATGTACTTATAACATGTTGAAGTTTTCCCTGACCTTGGTTGTTATTCCAATAGGATTTTCTACGTCACATTCTATTTCCATATATTGATAATCTTAATCAGATTTTATAAATAGGTTGGTATGTGCTGATGATAAGGTCATCAAAATAAAACTGGTTCGTCAGATTTCCTGCACTAAAATCATTTTAAAGCTATATCCTTAATTAAAATCATAATACAATTGTTTAAATAATTTGTTTTAAAGCTATATGAACTTTAATGATTAATAGTCCTTATTCTCGTTGACACAATCGCCAAGCAAAAAGCATTGAGCACAAAGTCAAAGTCATGTTAAGCACAAATATACTTCTCCTTTTCCCCAACCCAAAGTCAAGATTTACATAAAAGCATTACATTCCTTGAGGACACACTTTCCCAACCCAAAGTAATGTAGAGCACAAAACCATAAATGGGTCCGGCCTTTCCCAACTTATACGAAATCAAAGAGCCACTCCCAGTTGATGACTTGCGGATGTCCGAGGTTATTTTCAGTGTTTCGTGTACTATCCGGACAACTAGCTAATGGAGATTTGACGAAGGATAAGTTCTATGAAGAAATTTCCAGCTTCTATTATCTTGGAATATCCCTTGACAATTCGTGAAAGGAGCAAAACACATTTAATCATACAAGATAAATGATGACTTTCACCTTCAGTTATACTCATTGTAAATAAATAATGCTTTCTGATTGGTCTACCAATCAACCAAATCAATGCCGTCGTCAGCATGGAAAATATTAATGACATTCACTCCCCCTTTCAGTGAGATAGCTTGTAGTGCTCATTTACTTTGTAAATTTCAAGACTGCTAGAAAATTGTGGATTTATTGAAGACGTAACATTCGATTACCTATTATAAGCCATTGTATAAAAATACAGTATAAAAGCGACGAAAAGGCTAATTACTACTTAACCATCAGAAAGTTTTACAGTATCTGAACCGATTACCACTCAGCCATCAGTTGGTAATACAGTATCGGAACGTTTTACCACTCAACCATCAGTTTGTAATACGGTATTGAAACGGTTTACCGCTCAACCATCAGTTGGTAATACAGCATCGAAACTATTGACTACTCACCCATCAGTTGGTAATTCAGTATCGCAACTATTGACTACTCAATCATCAGTTGGTAATACAGTATCGGAACTATTGACATCCCAACCATCAATTGGTAATACAGTATCTAAACTAGTGACAAAACAACCATCAATTAGTAATATAGTAACAAAGCCATTGGCTACAGAAGCATCAGCTGGTAATATAGTATTTAAACCATTGTCAACTAAACCATCAGTTGGTAAAACAGTATCTGAACTATTGACAACTCAACCATCAGTTGGTAATATGGTATCTGAACTATTGACAACTTAACCATCAGTTGGTAATACGGTATCTGAACTGCTGAAAACTCAACCACCAGTTGGTAATACAGTATCCAAACTTGTGACAATTCAACCATCAGTTGGTAATACGCTATCTGAACTGCTGAAAACTCAACCACCAGTTGGTAATACAGTATCTAAACTAGTGACATTTCAACCTTCAGTTGGTAATACGGTATCTGAACTATCGACAACTCAACCAGCAGTTGGTAATACAGTATCTGAACTAATGAATCTCCACCATCAGTTGGTAATACGGTATCTAAACTGTTGACCACTCAATAACCAGTTGGTAATACAGTATCTGAACTATTGAAACTCTACCGTCGGTTGGCATTATAGTATCTGAACTGTTTACTTCTCAACCATCAGATGGTTATAACGTATCTTAACTATTGAAACTCAATCATCAGATGATTACGCAATACATGTACTTGATATTATTAACCACCAAATATCAGTGTAGTTGTTGACATATTGGCATATCAAAACAAACACAAATATTGCTTGACAATACTTTACCGCTACTGGAGACCTTTCTATACAGACATACACTTGAAAATGAACAAAATAATTCCAGTTATTGCATATCTTTTTATGCATACCGAGAAAGTTAGACAAGTTGGCGAATCAATACGATAATTATAGTAAAGTGTTACATAATAGTAAGTGTAATGATACTGATGAGTAAAATACTCACTAGTCATCAAGGATAATACAGTATAAATCTGAAACTCTTTTGTAAAATATCATTATTTTGTTCTTTTATGATTTGATTTCAGATAAATATACTTAATAGCATAACTTGATACCTGAAATCTCCGAATAGAAGTTTACAAGTCTTGTCCTTAAGAACTAATATCTTGAGTTGTTGCAGTCTAATCTGTTCGTTGTTTTCGATATTTTTTAATACGAAACTACCTAAGGTTCTTGCATGGAAATTTAAAGTAGGACGTAAAACTCCATTCATTTCATTTCATTTGCATGGAAATTTATTTAGTTGAGGTACAGATTCAAAATCACTACCTTCTTGTGTGTTATTTCAATGTAAGAACTCGTATGGTGTATACCTATTACTATTTGAGTTGACTGGAATAATGAGAAAACACTATTATTCCAGGTCATTTACACGGAGGTAAGCATTCAGGTCCACAATTTTTTCGACACAACTAAGCTACAAATTCGAAACACCTTGGTATTGTAGTTCAAAAGCATCAAACATCGTAGGGTTATACAAACGTACTGAAACGACGCTATGTATTTTATTGGCAAAACACGTTTCAGTGTCGTATGACCTGTGTTATAAATTGATGTTGTTTATGTCTTTAAGAACTATATAGGTTACTTATGTTACAAACTAATATACGATTAGCTAGTGAAACACAAATATCGTTCTCTGTTAAACAATTAAGGTTTATCTTTTTACTGTTAAAAATGAAAGGCGAGAGTTTGGTTTTCTGATAAAGTAGATGGTCAGTGCTACTGATATGCAGTTAGAAATGGACAATTGCCATATACGACTGAGTTGGCAATATTTCTATCAAATTAACATTAATAAGCTATTGTTGCCTCTTCAAAAAGGAACGACGAAGGGTTTAAAATTGATTTGCACTTCTGCATGTCATGAATCTTTAGCACCACCTGCCACGACACGTTTTATTGTCGAGCTTAAATTAAATTGATGCTCTAAAACAGTTTTAAAAAGTTCTCGTGTCATTTTCAATTTTTGTGTTCTATTTCTAGGATGATTTTATATTGACTCTAAATAAAAGATAAAAATGGTGGACATATCAGGATTTTGTTCTGTATCTATCTTCTTTACCATTGTTAACTTCATCACAGCTACAAAAGGTAAAATTGAGAACTTCTACAAACACTTAAAGAAGGTGATGAATCAGAAAACATAAGGTCTTTTCAGCTTTAAAGTGTACCGATGGTACTTGACAAAGATATGAAGGGCGAATCTGACAACTGAAATTTTTATACAATATATTGTATACATTTAAGGTACAATAAATAAGACCACATCTCTTATTCTTATTCCAGCTGATGGTATAGGTTGTTTTTCATGTAAATCAATAAACCATGACAATCCAGCTTGTGAAGACAAGTTCAACAATACCGCAGGTTATTATAAACAGAATTGCTGGGCCTCCAGAACTGGAAGAATTGGTAAATTCCCAGGAACCCAATGTATCAAAATGATAGCAGAAGATGGTAGGTTACTTCATTATTTTTTAAGGTGCCAGTGTGATAGTTTACCGCGTGTATTGAATTGGAAACATTGTGGTTATTTCGACTTTCATGTTTCAGGCAGTGCATACAAGCAATATCCCCAAAGGTATTCGTCACCTTAGCGTTAAAAAATGTTTTATTAATCATGGAATTAATCGTTAGCCGTAACAATTTAGATGTAAAAAAAAAGATATTTCACACTGCTCGGCCTCTTGGCAACATTATTTCAATCATCGTCACCTCTAGTATCTAAAGTATTAATATATTTATATAAAGACGTAATATGTTGAAGAGATGCCATCACGGGTTATAACATATTACACATTATGTTCATTATTTCAGAGGATTCAGGTTATTCTATGTTAGTCAGAGACTGTGTAGTGGATAACGGGGGTACTAATGCCGAAACAGAGATAGGCAGAATGGGACATTGTGGATGGATGCGGGTCATCAAATTTAATGATAGACGAATGCGTGGTTGTCTTGTGACTTGTGATACAGATGGATGTAATGGAACTCAATCTGTGTATTCAATTTCAATACTGACACTATTGTTTTTGCTAGGAGTATTTTATCAAACGTGAAGATATTATCCAAAAGCCATACGGAGGGATATAAGTACTATAAGAGGTTGAAAGGGATATATGTGATATTGTTAATTTCTAACTGTATGTGCATTGATTTCAGGTTATTTAAAAATGATTTTGACAGGTGAAAAATAGGAAAAGATGGTTAATTTGAAAGCTGATCGGTTATTATGTTCATAGAAGTTCATCAAGCCTATAAGATTCATAATAACATATGTTATTGAAGCTCAAAAATAATAACATAAAACCAACATTATAATATATTGTATTGTATTTAATTTTATTGTATTGTAACTATGTTGACCATCATTAAGAAACAAAATAAGAATGCAGCCAACTGTTCCATATAAGCTCCTATTTGATTTCAGCACATAATGTAATGATGTATTTGGTGTCCTCTCTGTTCATGAAGAATCATAAATTCAGAGAAGTTTATTAGTTACTTGTCATCTTAGAGAATAAATTATTTAAATATGTACAGATAGATGTTAATGTGTTTATTATATTATTTATTTGTTTACCTATTTTAAAATACGTTTTTGTAAATCACAAAATTTGACCCTACAAAGGAGAAAGGCCAGTAACTTTTAACAAAAGTGTTCACAATAAATTATGTATCGGGTATTTCTGCCTGATATTCTCACTAACACTAATTTCCCAACCAGTGTTTCTGATTATGTTATGGATTTTATATTCACACCGTATGTTTATAGCAATAGTTTTTGTTTATAAGTTGTTTATTGATTTGTAACTGATTACCATTCAGATATATTATTAATAATACTCAGTATGGATAGATAAGAATCAGTACAGTACTGCAGGCAATAATACTTATCACGGAAACGGTCTTAAATCATATTACTAAAACGTGTTTTCATCCAAGGGATCACGAAGGCACTATCAGAATACGTTTGCCATAATTGTCACCACATTTGTAAGAAATATGACCAAAAAGGTTCTATCGAAATTTTTTGTCGACCACTGCTCAGAAACTCCTAGGCCTCTGAGTGAGATCAATCGTGGTTTATCATGTACATGATTCATTATTTTACTCAATATTGTAATTATTTATTTTTCAATAACCATTTATTTTCTTTTATATTTATTACTATGTTATATCTCAAATAATCATAAATAAAGAACAATAAACTGACTTCTAAATGGGTTTCTGTCTACTTGAAATACGAGGGTTAGCTGAAAAGTTCGAAGTTTGATTGGGCTCTCAATCGGCTTGAAACAAACTTCCCACAAACATGTACAATCATTTAATGAATCATAAATATAAGACCATCTTGGGAACCTAGCCAGTGGAATCACCAGAAATAGACAAAACCGGATATAGGGAAGTCATCTAGTACTTGCAAATGAAAGGGCTCATCACAGATATCGTGGTGTCCCCGCACACCCCATCCGGTACGAGATGACATCTTTCTAAAATAAATTGAAATTAATGAAACCTACAGTAATTACAAGACTATTTCATAATTCATCGTTTAGAAAAGAATAATAATGAAATTTTTTAGCAATAAATTTAGATTATTCGGTCTATCTGAGATAGTTACTTTAAATCGCCCAGGTTTCTTCATTGTATTATGATAACTACGACAGGTGTCTAGGCTGAATATATTATAATAAAGTAAAACATTTACCTATTAGATACTAATCACTGACGTTTAAATACTGCCATATATATTGCCATCATATTTTGGAAACACGTAGTGATTAAATACTATTTAACAAATAGACTAGGTTTCAAGTAGTACAGTCAAGTACCTAATTTCGTGCTAACCTATTTTTCGTGCATCTCCGGATATAATTAATAATTTACATGTGCTACCTCGCGTGCCTCCGCATTTGCTTGTTTTGATAAACATTGGTTATCTCTACAATGTCAGCTAGTAGAATGAATCCAGTAGTTTCAAGCAAGGTAAAATGTATTAATGTTTACTTCCACAAATGCAAAATGGTGGATGTCATAATTTTTTATCGGCTGATTTTCCTTATAATCCCAAGCGGTAATCGGAATTCCAAGTGTCGCCTGCTAGAGTGTAGTCCGACGACTGAAGTCACGTGATCAACTAGCGGATTCTGTGTCAGCAGAAAAATTCTATGGAACACAATGTGGGCCGTATTCTTATGTTGTTTCAATGACTTTTAGCAATAAATCACGTTACGTTACGTTTTTTTAGAATCATGAGAGAAAGTAATTATACCACTGGGTATCCATACAACGTTTTTTACTCGACTTATTTATAGATCAAACATTGTACACGAAAATAGGTGACGCATTGTGCCGCCGATGTCGAGTTGGTTACTCATGAAATATGGGTCAAAGTGAGGGATTCATAAAGAAAATCGAAACAAATTTTAATTATTTTGTAGAATATCTGAAGAAACATCTAAGACATAAACAAAAATTTTCGTTTTTTTAACTTTGAAGAAATTCGGTGTTGAATCCTTATATGCACGAAAATATGTTACTCCTCTGTACTAATAATTTTGATTGACCGATTTGTACTCTCTGAGAAGTCAAAGAAAGTAAACTTTGTTTACCAATAAGTCTGTATGGTGTTTGATGTATGAATTACCCTGAAATGTACACAGTTTCATCCATGTTGGTCTAGAATATTTTATTAACCTCATTTCGGTTCCCAATGGCCATGGGTTATATACGCAGCAGAGAGATCAGTATAATATTATGCCCAAACTATCTCTCAACAAGACCCCGCACTCCGACCAATACATCCGTACTTTTAAGTAAGCCTACCCCCTATAGTTTGTATCCAAACAATCTCCAGGGGACAGGCCTGTAAAGTATTTATCTTCTAAATTACTTCGCTTTTTAGTTATCCTATAGAATCATAAAACTTGTACGGAGCCAGCGGGCTATTCAGCTGTCAAAAAATCAATAAATATGATTAACAGGTGAAATATGAGAAAATTTACGCCCTTCTAATGTGAAAAATGAGCCTGAATATTAACCGAACATCTAACTTGGTAAAAACCAAATCCATTGAAAGAGTATTGGCTCCAGTAGCATCCCAAGTAAGAAAATTATCGGTATACTTTGATTTCTTATAGTACTAATTACTAATACGGTTGCCTCCCTTGAAGTAGGCTGGTGTGAAATGCCCATTGTGTTTAATTGTCACGAACGTATTTTTACCTTGATTTTTTTTAAATAGAATTTATGTGAGGATTATTATATTGCATGCAGCGCGTAGAAACGTGCAATAAAAGTTTATTTTATTGGCAGTACTTTGACTTTCTAGTTAGCCAGTAGCCAAAGTGTTTCACAGTTAGGCATTTTACACTTACCAGTACCTGGATTAAAAAATGATGTACCGTAAATTTAATTCCAAGGGAGCTCTAAAATAGGGAGAGCATCAGTAACCCATGTTGTTTATTAAAGAAATTTTTTAAAGATTTTTTTTAAATTTGAAGGCATAGCTTAGCCTACTGGTAGGCCTAGATATTTTGGCATAGACGGGAAAGTTCTATGTCTAGGCCTACCATTTCTCATATTTTTTTATAAAACGCATGAGCTCCAGTGTAGTTCAGCATTAAATTTTGTATCCTTCAGGTTTCCTTGTTGATAATATTAAGTGAAAAAAGTAAATATAATTCTAAATCAGTGGAGAGGAATGAAGAGGCTGATAGAGGTCAAGATATTATACGATGTACAAACACAATATTAAAATCAGTTCAAAAATTTATTGATATTGGACAAAAACAAGTTCAAACTAGCTCAGATGTGGTAAGTGGAATAGTCTGTATCGTTTATACAGTGCTCTGGTAGAAATGGTATCAGGGTGTTGAAGAGACTATATTGAGTCCTTTATTACATGCTTTTATAATAATGTCCAATTGAGTAAATTACCTAACAGATGGGACATGTTTTTCAATATTAAAAACAATTTGGTCTTTAACAAGTTTATTTGGCACCTTCCTTATCCTGCAAATTTATCAAATCTCCAAACCCATTTTTGATCAGGGCCTATACTTCTGGTTTGAGGAGGTAGCAAATCTTGTGTTGAAAGACAGCATGCTATAGTTTCAAAAACTTAGGTTTGGCATTGCCTGTAATGTGTTGATATGGAGATCTCATATTGCAATTTGAATAATTTTATTTAGAACAATGAACATTTAAGTCATATTTAATCCATTTTGATGAAATTTATTTATTTCAGAATTTTAACCAGCAGATGAAATGTGAGTGTGAGAATCTTGAATTATTTTGTTCTAATTTAAATATTAGTTGTAAACAATTTGAAGCTGACGTCAACAATCAACGTAATTCTGATTTAATGATAGAAAATACTAAAGATGTTCTTCATTGTGTTTTAAAGGTAACTATTTCAATGTAAATGTATTTAGGGTAGAATGATATATATGCCTGCAGTTAGAATAATATGTTCTGACTGTGTCATTCTATTTTATCTTATGATCTAAGGTTGTCAAGGTTTCCAAGACATTTGATACATTGAGATCTATTTATGTCCATCATTAGCATTTTATCTGTGTGATATTAATTTGAAAATCATTACAACTTAATTTGGTTGAAAAAAGAGATAATATTATGTCTAAAAAGAAATGAATAACTGAGTAATTTATTCAAGTAGGCATTATCGGCCTTTTTGACAGAATATTTATGATTGGAATCTGTGTGCTAAACATTCAGTATCACTCTGATAACAGTTTCACCTGGTACCACTTTTCATTATGAAATAATTACTCACGTATGGTTGATATACTTCGTCACGTGAAAACTTCATTAGCTGCTACAAAAAAAAATGTTGTTTTGGATTTCTGGTTTCGTTCTGCAGTTCGGATTGTTAGTACTTGGTTTTTTTAATTATTTTTACTCTAATAAACTAAAGAGGTTTTAATTGTCTTATGTTGCCAATCTTTGTACTTTTATTGTACAAATCTAGAAACCAATTTCAATTCCTTTATGTTTGGATCATTTTTGATACACCGCTCAATAATTATTTCTT